TTTTTGCACTTCCTTGATTACATTTATTCTTACTTTTTCTTTTTTTGTCTCACTCCGTCACCCAGGCTGGAGTGCAGTGGCATTATCTCGACCCACTGCAACCGCAGTGCACGTCACCACATCCAGCTTTTTTTTTTTTTTTTTTTTTGTATTTTTAGCAGAGATGGGGTTTCACCAAGTTGGCAAGGATGGTCTCAAACTGCTGATCTCAAGTGATGTGTACACCTCGACCTCCCAAAGTGCTGGGATTATAGGTGTGAGCCACCGCGCTGGGCCCCTATTCTTTTTGATATTGTACATGGAGTTTTCTTAATTTATGGATTGCTTACAAACAATATTTAAAGAAATACAACTGACTTCTGTGTGCCAATATTGTATCCTGTAAATTTGCCTAATTCTATTAGCTCTAATTGGTTTTTATGAATTATGTAGGATTTTCCATATACAAGATGTCACTTATTAATATAGTCTTCTTCCTTTCCAATTTGACTATTTAAAAACTAGAAAGTTTTGTTTTGATTCTTGCAAATTGGTTGGCAACTCATGGTGCTACATTACCTTGTACTTTTTCTTGCTGGTTTTAAAATGTGAGCTACTGCAGAATTCCTACAGTGTTTGCTTCTGCCAGTAGCTGGCTGTTCTTCTAATTTGGAATCACTCTAAAAATTAAATCCCCTGCTTGAATTTTCTGGAACCACCTAAGGCTGCAAATCTTTACAAAGCCCAAACTATTACAAATTCTCGCAATATTCTCCTGCCACAGAGCACCAACTTTCAAGATAGGTAGTCCTAGTTGTACTAGCAATGGGTTTCTCCTATTTGACACCACTTTTGGGTGCATTCTGGGCTTTGCCAGTCATGAAAATTAAAGGTCAGCTGGGCACGGTGGTTCACACCTGTAACCCCAGCACTTTGGGAGGCCGCAGCAAATGGACTGCTTAAGCCCAGGAGTTCAAGACCAGCCTGGGTAACATGGTGAGTAGCCCCAACTACTCAGGAGGCTGAAGTGAGAGGATCGCTTGAGTCCAGGAGGTCGAGGGGTGTGCCACTGCACTCCAGCCTGGGTGACAGGGCAAGACCCTGTCTCGAAAAAAAAAAAAGAGAAAGTGAAAAAAGTTCACTTGGGTTACTTCATTCAAAATGCAAGCTGGTTCTGGGTATGTTCTGTTTTCCTCTGGGTTCTTGGCTTCAGTTTGGTTCTGGTCTGAGAGTACGCCTTCCTTTCTTGATAGAACACTGACACACTGGAAAAAAAAAAGGTTTTCCCCTAGCAACTGGTTGATTTTTCACAGGATTGATCAGGGTAATCATCCAGGCTGACAGAATCTGAATTGCATTATTTTACTTACAATAGAGAATAAAGAAGGTCTGATTAATAACTTTTTAATAGTATATTAGTTTTCTTTGTTCGTTTGGAGTTAGAAATGAAGCAAGCAGATTAAACATTTTCCCCAAGAATACAAATGGCAAGTATGTGTACCTTTGACAGACTACCATTTGGCTCAGTCATTTGTGTGTTAAATATCTGACCACCTAAAATATGCCAAGTAGTCATCTAGTAATTTATGAGAGAAAAATCTGCCCTCATAGAAGGGGTGGGCCTGATGGCGAGGCAATTATTACCTGTAAGATAGATAATACTGAATATGTCATGATGTACTCTATAGAGGTGATGCTGTGTTGGCGTTATTATATAGAATGGTCAAGAAATACTACTCTGATAAGGTATTTCAAGAGACCTAGTTAGGGAAAAGGAAGCTGTATGGTATGTGGGGTAAGATCATCCTAGGCAAAGGTAAGAGGAAGAGTAAACATCTTCACACATATTTGCAAGTCTCAGCAGGCCCACGTAACTGAGCTGAGGGAGTTGGAATGGTGGTAAGGGAAGCAAGGAATTGGGGATTAAGCTGAGGCAAGAGTGGGCAAGAAAGTTATCTACAACCTTGTACATTAAATACTTTGTGTTTTTACTCCAAATGAGATGGGAAACCATTAGGTTTGGAGAAAAGCCATGACATCTGATATGGTTTAAAGGGGTTGAGTGTGGGGGACAGATTGCTGCAAGGCGGGAGATCACTCAGGAGGCTATTGCAATAATCCAAATAAGAAATGATACAGCTTTAGATCATGGTGCTAACAGTGAGCATGGTAAATGGGCAGATTCTAAAGGCTGCTGCTAAGTCTGATTGAAGGTGGAATATGAGAAGTCAAAGTTGGTGCCTAGGTTTTAGGCCAGTGCAATTCAATGTTGGTATTTACTGAGCATGGGGTAATAGTATATGTGTATGTTTATGTCTTTGTAGACATATGGCTAGTTTTAGACATTTTAAAAGATGCCCTTTAGACTGTCATGTGGATGAATAGAAGTTATATGGGAGCTCAGGAGAAATAGCTGGAAGGTTAGTAAATGACAGTGGTTAACTGGGCTCCTAAGCCAGTATGGCATGAAAGTTCATTGTTCAGCCTTGACTACAAACTTGATATGGTAAATGAGAAATCAAGTTCTACAGAGGATCAGACAGTAGTACGCAAAAATGTAAATTTCATAAAAACATTTTTTACAATACAGAAAAGAGGGCTCTTAAAAAATCTCATTTATAAATAGCATACAGTTTGGGAAGAGCTAGATATTGACAGTGGGATTTTAACTGAAGCATCCCAAGTAAAAGAACAATTGTCAGAAACATCTTGTATACCTGAATCATATAAAATTTTTCAAACCTGAGGCCAGAAATGAGCAAGTAGTTATAAGGTAGCACGAAATAATGCAACAGAGTAATAATTTCTAGGGACTTAAGACATTCAGCCAACTTCGATATATTTAAGTCTTTTTGTTAAGATGGTTCCTCCAGTTTTTTTTTTCTTGGAGGGGGCACTGTCATGTTTTGAAGCCACTTCCAAATACCTTTTATTTTTCCATTACAATGGGACAGCACGAGAAATCTTAATAGCCACCTTCGGGAACATTTAATATTTGTCAAACACTGCAAACACCCTTAACATGGCATCATTTCCACTTGGAAAAATTGCTTAGTGTCAGGCCACAGAATGGGATCTGGGTTCAGATTTGTTCAGCTAGCTAACACAATACTTAGGTAAATCTTTGCACCTGATTACTTTTAAATACTTGATTGGCTGAATTCTATGCCTGTATGGTTATTCAAATTAGCCAATTGTAAGATGTTAATGTATTTTAATATTCCAAGTGTAAATGTGGAAATCAATGTACTGTATTACAATTCAAAGTACTAGGAAATTATCAGTTATCAGAAATGTAATACTTAAACACATTCTCTATAGCCAAAAACAGCTATAAAAAAATAGCTGTAGAGTCAAAGGATTACTGGTTGTAGTCTGTTACAAGGGAATGCTATGAACAGACTTCTGAAAATGGTTCTCAATCTTCACCATTCATCAGAATCACCTGGAGGGTGTTTTAATATAGGTGACTGGGCTCCCTGCCACAGTTTGATTCAGGACTGGGGTGGGGCCTGATAACTTACATTACAAAGAATTTCCCAAATGATGCTGAGATTGTTATCTCAAGAGACATTTTGAGAATCACCACCTTAATTTCTTCATAAACTGTATAAAATTCAAAATCGAGCTCACACGCAACATTAAGCTCAAGTGTGGATTTCATGTTAGCTGGAATTACCGAGTAAGACCAAAGTGTCTTTAAACACAGACTTTAATGGTAACAATTCCTTTAAGCTCAATTAACTTTAGCTATTACAAGTCTTATGCACATGTCACTATTAGACAATATTTAGTGACTTGCACTGGGTTCCTCATAAAAGACAAATTCACTTAAAAGTGTAATCAACAATCATTAACAGTTTTGTTATGCCAACACAAAACATGGCTAATTTGAGTTACCCCCCCTCCCCACCCAAATCACTAACACAGCATGATCAGTCCCTTTAAGTATACTTCAACTAAGCCATTTCAAAAAAAATACCAAAAAAAAACCAAAAATAAAAAAACAAAAAAAAAGTGAGTGTTTCACTACCCCTGAGACCACTAGTTAACTGTGGTTCATACTTTAAAATGTGAGTACACCCACACAAGAAAGCAAATTAATCAGCTTTAAAAAATCTGATTATCACATTGCAAACTCGCCCAGGAAAAACAAATTGTCACTTAAAATGTAAATTTACCATTAACAGGCCAACTGGACCTTAATTCTTAAGAGTTTACGCATTAAAAGATCTAGGAAATACACATAGTCAAAAATGATTCTAATACTCAGTTGGGTCCTATACATGGCACTAGTAATGTCAAATTATTGGGTGGAGTGGGGGAAAGGGCAAATTCTTAGATTCTTTTGAAGATTTCATTGTACATGATTTCATGTCCAGTATCCATACATTCAAAAATGTTGGTTTTCCAGGTACTTTACTGTTCTTTTAAACCTGGAGAAGCCTCTATGGCTTATTCCCTTAGAAGCAACAAATGAAATGATGTATAAAGCATCAAGTCAGAGATACAGAGAACTGGACACATCCACTAATTGTTACGACAATCAAAGAAGTCATCTCTGTAAATACCTAAGGGTTGTCTAAGGCTATAAAGGTCAATTTGAAAGCCAATTAGGGATCCACTGTGTTCCATAAAAGTGTTTTACACTCATGTTTGGCTTTCAAGAAGTGATATGCCTACTAAAGCTGTTATTTTGAGAGTATATGCATCTCAGAAGTAATTTTGAAAACAGAGCCAAAGAGCAGTTTTTCTTACCTTGCGGAGCAGAATGTAACTAATATTTCTCATTCATAATTTGAATCCAAAAAAGTTATGCAGTATGACATCTACCCTGAAGGAGCCATTTTAAGCAAAAGACAAAATGAAAAAATTCACTCATTGGAAAAACTGCGTAGCTGGTTTTTTTCCCAATGAAATGATTACAGAATTAACAAAGCCAGAACATCTTCAGAAGGCATGCATTTCACTTCCAGTTTAGAGAAGAACCTCAAGTCAATAAATCATGTCCAAACTACATATTAAAATGTTTATAAAAATTAAGTTTTAACATTTATTTCTAGCTTTCCACATCTGTGTGCAGACAAGGAATAAGATTGCACATAAGTGTAAGCAGTGCAAAAATGTGGAAGTGGAGGAGTCACAGATGTGCTAGAACTTTAAGAAATAAAGCAGTGGACAAAATCAAAATAACCAGGAAACATGTAAAACTATGGGATCAGAATTAGGAAAGGTGAAGAATGGTAATGCCCTTGTTACTACAGAAGTTAAATTAGTGGCACAGATAGCACTTGTCAAACAAAAAACAATCCAATAGCATTGACTTTTATTCATTCATGTTAAGTCACCTGAAATGATATCTGTTGCATTTAAATGCTCATTAATGTAAATGGCTGAACAAATCCATTTCAATGGATACTCAATATCCCACATAGATAAGTCACTTCAACACAGCCTCATGACAACTCCCACACCAAAACAGTACTTTATTTTGCAAATTTTGACCCATTATTACTCCCATGTTATGTTTTTTTTTTTTCAGCTGTCAAGTGTACAAGGTGAAGAGAAATTTCAGTTAGACAGGGGCTGCACCTGGAAAATAAATTTCTTAAACTCCATAAACACATTTCAAAACTGCTGGGTCCCAGAAGTCCATCTATGAACTCTAGGGCTGCCAGTATCATGTGCAGCACATTAAAGCTACACTATCCAAATAGCTTATTAATTCTGCATAAATCAGGTCAAGCAATGTGTCAACCTGTAACAGACTGTGCACTTTAACTGAACATGGCAAAATATCCACTCTTTCGAACTTTACATCATCATTTGATGTCAAACAATGAAGCAAATCCCAACAGTATATACAAAAAACAGCTTTGCATTTACAAAAGATTGTTTCCCATACTGATTAATCCAGGCAGCTAACTCATTGGTTTATGCAACTTTATTGAAGAAAAATAAATCAATTACTAGCAGAGCTATTAGTTGATCACTCATCCATTGACAACTTGCATCATTTATTCAGTGCTATATTAAACAGTGTATTGGAAGATAGATTAACTAATAGCTCCAAGCCTCCTAACAATTTAAATGAAAATTACAAAATGTTTGAGACCCTATTTTGGAATACAAAGGGTGTTTGACTTCCAATTTCCATTCTCTGTAGAACAAGAACAGGTCATTCCTTTATTGACATGCATAAAATACATCACATTTTCTGTTCTGCTGATGCTATAAATTCAATACCAATTCTCCAGCCACATCAGTTATGAGCATAAAGTATATCATGTAACCTCAAATCTCTAACAGTGGAAGGCTTAAACAAGAATGGATGCTGCTAGAATAATGCTGTATCCTTTGATGTGACAACTGAGCATCCATCTCCCTCCCCCTCAGATGATTTCTTCAGCATGTTAGAGCAGTGAGGAATGGTTTTAGTCTCATAACCAAGTTAGAGTGAAGACATTGGCCACATAATACACATGCTCCATTTTTTTTTTTTTAATTCTGAGTCTTGGGCAACTGTTCTCTTGTAACTACTTTACAGTTTCTAAAAGCAGTTATTGTCCAAAGCTGGAAGAACTTAAGTCTTCTCAGATGAGCATGTGAATGAATGGAGGGAGGTAAACAAAAAATAAAATTAAAAAAGATGAGGTCTGACAGGGGAGCAGCCGGATAAGAAAATCAAAAAAGGAACAGTAATTTAAAGTTTATTCCAGCTATAATGCAGGTTATTCTGACTTTAAGGTAGCATCACATGGCATACTTCTGAGTCCATTCCCGAGATATTCTGTTGTACCTGTAAATAAAGATGTTATTTTTAAAAGTTAAAATAAAGTGAAAGAATTCCTAATACTTTAAACGGAAAGGAAAGATTTCCATTTTATCATCTTCAGACCCATCATGAAGTCATCTCTAATGACTATGATTAGAATAAAAGCCAACAAGGGAGAAATAGCATTGGTACTCAAAGCAATGTGGGAAATGAGAGCCTGATGCTCTGAAAGCAGTATTTTAATACAACTAAGAAAGCAGCACTGAAAATTGGGAGGCTGACAAAAATCAAAAGACCCTTTCTCTCTACTACCGAGCTCATGAAAAAATTTTTACAGTTCATTATGGACAAATGTTAAAATAGTATACACATTGTATCTATCCACAGAAATTTCCACCAAAGCCAGAACCAGGCTTTTAGTAAAACAATTTTATTTGAATCCTGGAGTTTGAGAAATTACTTTCTCCTGGATATTGTAAGAATAAATGGCTTTGGGACTTAGGTAGAGGCAGAAGGGGAAGATGACACTGGGCAGAATGACAAAGGGCAGTAATTTCCAAAATGGGTGTGTGAGTGGTTGTGCTCATCAGAATCATGTGTTACTTTTAATAAGTGTGGTAACTGAGGCTAATAAGCACCACCGAGACCTGTTGAGTACAACAAGGGCATCTTTGTTTAAAAAGATCAACAGGTAATTCACACACAAGCAAGGTTATTACTCAGGAAGACTACTAACATTGATAAATACTATCAGCTTCCCACTGGATTATATTCATGCCACAGACTACTTACCCCAACAAAAAATAGTGATAACCTTAAGAAATGAATATATATATATATATATGCACAGGAAAATTTTTATATTTATAGTTTAAATATTAGCTAGCTTTATTTCAAACCAAGAACCAAAATGGTCCAAAAACTTTCCTAAACTTTTAAAAAAGTTATCTACCAATTCATTGTCATCTCCTAAGGATACTCTCTCAAAAAGCCAGCAGTTTAAAACAAAGGCTTTATTTAGCATACAGGGAGCCACAAAGTACAGTTGACGCTAATGCATGCTTGTCAGTAATGAACACTTAGTTTAGATGCTTAGGCTTAAAAGTGTTTTTCCCTTATATACTATCTCCTGGCAAAATTTGAACTAAACCACCACATTCTGTATAGGATTGGTACAAAGTCTTAAGCTAGAATTTAAACACCATGGTAGTTTGAAAGAAAAAGATACTACATAAATTCCCATTTCTTACTAGTGCTATATAACTGCTTTGCCATGCAATACTTTCAAGCAATAACGACTACCAGATATTTACTTTCACGTTAAACAGAGATCAAGCAGTTAAATGTACAGTTTTCAGAAGACTACCACATCTGTTACCTTTTGTTAGTTAATACAGTGCCTTAATGCATGCAGCACTCAAGTGCTGGCAGTACCATGAATAAGCGCACCATAAGAGTGCAGATCCTCTTACCCTACAACATAGCGTATTTCTCTGTCCACTCTCTTGCTAACCTATTGTACCTAATTGAACAAGTACACTTAGCATTAATTATAACATATGAAAGTTATAATGGTTAAGTTGAACATAAATATTATTCAAATATTTGAGAAATTTAGACCAAATTTTTACAACAGTACTAACATTTTTTGGAAAAACATGCTTAGGGTAAAGAAAAATTTGCTTTCTTTCCCAAAATTTGAGAAATAAAGTGATACTGTAACACGCTAGGAAAAAAAAAAAAACAAAAAAAACAAAAAAAAACACTTTAGAGGGGAGCATTCACTGTCACGTAAACTAAAGCCTAGTTTTTTTCAAAAACCACATTTTAATAACTTTCTGCATATTTTAACTGTTATCTTACTAAATATCAAGTCTTCTTGCCATTGTCACAAGCAAAGTATAAGCCTAACTCATTAAGTAAAACCACTTTTATAATAACTTTTAAACATACTTACTTATCTCTGTCTGTTTTATAGATCCGTGCAATCTCTGGCACTAGGGGGTCATCTGGGTTTGGATCACATAGCAGTGAACAAATGGATAAAAGAACTGCAAGAAAACAAAAATGTCTGTTACCCAGTTTCAGGAGTTTGGATAAATAAATCTTTCTAAACGGTGTATTACAAACCTCAATCCTCAAAAGACTTATTAGTTTGTATCTCTATCTCAATGAGACAGTTTTACAAAGATTTTGTTTCATAGACGACAAGCTCCTGGTAAGCAAGAAGTGCTAAAAACAAGGTTTTGTGGCATCAGATTCACTGCTGACTAGCCATAAAAATAGTTTAAGATAGGCAACTGATGCCATATTTATATATATATATTTTAAATAGGCATAAATGATATTAGAACTTAGGGGTTTGTTGGTACTCTGTGTGGGTGGGTGTGGGGGGACTTTAGCAAGAATATGCAGGTAACACTCATGCCACATTCACAGCTGTTAGGAATGACGAAAAATCCATTCTTTGCCATTGTCTTGGGAATTTCTGAGAAAAACCTTCAAGTACTCCACTAAATGTTTTGTCTCCTTGAACTTGTAAGCAAGAAACTATATCCCCAAGAGTACTAGTTAAATACAACAATGCCAAAATCTCTTTAGTACTAAGTGAGTCACCAGCTCTAGTTCTTACCTTAACCAGTTCAACATACTGATGTATAAGATGTCAAGCATTAAGGAATATAGACTGCATTCACTTTGAGTGCCTGTTAGTGCCAGTCACCATATATGGTGCTGTTATAAAATGTTAAGATATAAACGCTTGAAATGGTTCTGACCGATTTTTTTTAAAAAAAGCAATAGTATAAAAAAGACAACACTGTCACATAAATATTTACTGACTATAGCAAATTTAATTTCAAACCCAGATACAGCAGAATATAAAATTATCTAACATAGGAGACCTGGCTATATAATAACTCACAGAAAAAAGGTAGCTTCAGTTGTGAATGACTGCTAGTTTAATAAGTTAGCAAAGTATGGCTGCCAAAAAAGCAAGTTGTTTTAATGACAAAACAATACCAATTCAATCTGCCTTTACAGAAACAGTTTTCAGTGTTACAGTACATTCCCAGCAGTAGAAAAACTTGGAAGCTGATATTCAGGTACGGAACATGGTTTGAAAAGAAATTGGAAAGCATCCAAGAGGGTGAAAAACAGGTTTAAAATTTTAAGAACACTTGAATTATGGCAGCATCTGCCCAAGTTGTTTCTTTTTCTCCCTTAAATGATTCTACTCAATATTTTGGGAAATGCTGCTGCTACAGAGTAGTCCCTCCATGAGATTCAAGTGCAGTATATAAGCAGATTAAACTTTTATACAATGCTTTGCCTTTTGAAAAAGCTGTTTTGTACTTACTGAACTCATAAAATCATAAAACAATTAATGGTGAAATACTATTAATTATTACAACTCCACCTAGGATATTCATGCAAAGACTGGACAGCCTGTTACATATAACGGATGCCTATTAAAAGTAGGAGACCAGAATTGAGCTACAGATCTAAGATTATACAACTTTAGACTGTCATTAGGTAGAAACAACCTATCATGGTTACATAACACATTACTAAAGATTTGTGTAAAAATTAACCCAGGAAAGCAAAATCAGATTTTTCCTAGAGTGGAAACCTCAGGATTCAAAAGCTCTATTAAGTTTAGGTATATTATACCATTCTTGGTAAAAAGGCAACAAGTTAGCGTGAGACGTCCAAGTGGTTTGGGATTGAAAAATACAGAAGTCAATTAAAACAAATTTTGCTATTATAAGATGAGATGAAGGTAACTCATTAGGCAAATAATGCCTACCCACCCCAATTTGAATTTTAACAACTTCTTACAAAGTATCTTTAATCACCACCACCTAGAAGAACAAAAATGATAAAAATAACTTTATTGCTTCCCCATCTCTTACCAAAAAGCTGGCATAATAAAAATACTCAGATAAGTAGATCTAAGAATGAAATTTTATTAGAAAATGAGAACAATTTAAGACTATTTCACTAGAAGTATTTTTACCTTTAGAAATTGTTAAAGCAGGCGACCACTGTGATCTTAGAATATCGAGACAAATGCTGCCATTACTGTTAATATTTGGATGATAAATTCTTGTTGTAAATGCAACCTAAAACAAAAACTTTTAAGTATTTTATTCAAATAAAAACAAACATCTTTTAAAGCAAAACTTAAAATAATCAAGTCACAATGTTAAAAATGTCATCCATTAGCATACAAGTTCTAAATATCATAGAAACTGGTTTTTACAATCTGACCATAACCCCCCTCCCTGCCTCCTCTCTTTAAAATAGAAACCTGAACTTTTGGATAAAAATTTTATTACTCATGTGATGTAAAGTTCTAAAGGCTACTTTGGCCCTACCACGTCATGAATCAAAGGGCAATTTAAATGTATTTAACACATTCATTTAAAACAGCCCTAACTTTTGGATGTAACCAAAATTTGTAGACCATCTCATTTAAAGTTTCATTAAGTTACACAGGTACGCATAAGTCTTCATTTCCACCGTACATAAAACAGAAACTTGAATCACAAAAATGGAAACCATCACAAATTGCACCTGTAATGTTACTAAAGACTGTTATAGTGACATGTTTATGACCTTTGTATATTACCTTCTCTAATTACTCATACAGGTTGAATTTATGTTAATGACTGAAAGTCAAGGATAATATGCTTTTAATACTTATAAACCAATCAACTCAGTGCACTAAGCAACTCCAAGTTTTCATAAATTTATACTTACGTATACAAAACTATAAGCATAATAAGCATATGTTGTAACAATACATGCAAATATAAATTGAAGTTGGACATTTGATGCCTACAAGACGACAAAAGCCCAAAATCAGAATCTGTGTAACAATAAAACAGATGAGGGGGGAGCTTCCACATGGTCTGAATCTTGCAACATTAAGGAAAAGGCAAACCTTATCCCTATTTACAAAGTTCAAACTGAGGTCTAGCTCTTTAAACCAAAGTTTAAGAGTCAGCATCTATACCTCAGTGCCTCAATTCAACATATATATTCAGCCTAGGCAGAACCCTATCGTCCAAGAATGCTCTATTCCTTTGAAATAAACCATAAATCTATACTAACAGATTGTGAGGGAAAATACTTGCCTTAGGTGGTTTGAAGGGGTAGTCTGTAGGAAAATGAATTGTCAAAAAGAATACACCGCCTTGATATGGGCTGTCATTCTGTAAAAAGAAAAGTATGCTTAACTGAAATTTAAAATATTATTGCTAAATATTCTGTAACGTTTGTTTCCAAGCATTTCTCTAATAATGAACCAAAATCACTTATTTACACTGTAATAAACAGTCCATGAAAATTCAGTCTATAGTAATAGAAAAAAAAAAAAACACTTAAAACTTACACAGGTCACCAAAATTTTTTAAAAAGTTATCAAGAAACACAAGTATTCTAGATCTCAATTCTCAGAGGAAAAAGTACACATAGCAATAAAGCCTGCATCATCACCTTTCAGAATAATCTGTAAATAAAATTTTACATGTGTAGATTATTTCTTCCAATAGTCAAATGTGTACAAATGGCTTTACAACCGTCCATTCTGCCCACTGGCAAACCAAATGTAAGCTATCCCAGGTAACTAACACACACCACCTTCAAGAGGAGAACAGAGAAAAGCCTAAGCTTCTCATTTTTCATCAATACCAGAAAATACATTGTCCCTATTTTATGCATGAGAAAAATGAGGCTTAAAGAACTTAGTCTAGTGTACAAATGGTAAATGATAGAACCAAGATTCAAACACAATTCTTTTGAAGACCACTTAATGACCAGATACTGACCTACTTGGGAATTTGAAGCTAAAATGTGGAATGCCTAACTGCCTCTGAGTATGCAAAGAACCAATCCAAAGACATGTTTTAAAACTTACATGAACTGGGTTTTTACCAACACTCACTCCCCTCTATTAGAAAGGCTTTGTATATACAGCTATATGAGCCTTTCACTATGCCCATCCTGGATGTCAAGCACATAAAAAATAGGCCTGACACTAACACAGCTCATCTAATTCCTACCCTTCTGTAAAATAATTAAACATTGATTCAATTAATCTAACCCCTTGCTATACACTGTATATGTGTAAGGGATCCAAAGAGCATTTTTTTTTTATCTTTATGAGCTTAAACTCTGATAGACATGTAAAGTAACTGCAATGAAATATTATAGGTATCATGAAATATGAACAAGGGACATGTGGAGCTCAAAGAAGAAAGGTCAATTAATTAATGAAGAATCAGGTTCAAAGAAATACACAACTAGTAAATGGAAGAGCTTTTGTTTGTTTGTCTGAGACGGAGTCTCACTCTGTCGCCCAGGTTTAAGTGCAGTGGCGCAATCTCGGCTCACTGAAACCTCTGCCTCCTGGGTTCAAGCAACTCTCCTACCTTAGTCTCCCTAGTAGCTGGGATTACAGGCATGCATCACCACACCCAGCTAATTTTTGTCTTTTTAGTAGAGACTGGGTTTCACCGTGTTGACCAGGCTGGTCTTGTGGCCTCCTGATCTTGTGATCCACCTGTCTCGGCCTCCCAAAATGTGGAGATTATAGGCATGAGCCACCATGCCCAGCCAGAGCTTCTATTTAAATTGAGTCCTCCTCCAACTCCCAAGTTTTCCCTTCTTTTTCTTGGTGGGGGTGGAGGGGGGGAATGGGAACGGGACGGGGGACAAACAAGACACAGATTATTGTCTTGCTGTGTTTGTGTTGCCCAAGCTTGAGTAAAATGGCACAACCTCAGCTCACTGCAAGCTCCGCCTCCCAGGTTCAAGAGACTCTTCTGCCTCAGCCACCTCGGTAGCTTGGATTACAGGTGCACCAACATGCCCAGCTAATTTTTTATTTTTAGTAGAGATGCGGTTTCACCATGTTGGCTGAACTCTAACCCCTGACCCCAGGTGATTTGCCTGCCTCAGCCTCCCAAAGTGCTGGGATTACAGGTATAAGCCACCGTGCCCAGCCCCTTTTCATATTTTCTGTAAAATATGGAACTAGAAAACCACTCCAGTCACTTAGAATGTGACCTGAGTTTATTAGATTAACGTATCTTTGTTAAATACAGTTATATTAACTTTGAATAGATGCTTCAAATAGCATATAGTTTCACCTGATCTGATACTATACAAAACAGTTTTTTTCTGTGTAAAATTAACAACTTAAGGGAATCTCAAAGTTTTTTTTTTTGAGACAGGGTCTTGCTCTGTTGCCCAGGCTGGAGTGCAGTGGCACAATCTTGGCTCACTGCAATCCTCTGCCTCCTGGGATCAGGTGATTCTCCCACCTCAGCCTCCTGAGTAGCTGGAACTACAGGAGTGAGCCAGCACAGTCAGCTAATTGTTTTTGTCTTTTTAGTAGAGATGGAATTTTTTTTGTCTTTTTAGTTGAGGATGGTCTCAAACTGCTGAGCTCCAGTGATCCACCCACCTTGGCCTCCCAAAGTTTTGGGATTACAGTTGTGAGCCACCACCCCTGGCCCCAAACACTGAAGTTTTAATAACCCAATTCCAGAAGTTCTTTGTAAGCTTTCATTTCAATTTTCATAAAATCAAATGCTGTCTACGATGCTTCTGAAATAAAGGCAATCTGCTGATGGGATTTAGGCAAAGCCAAATTTCATTTTGTTTGTTCAAAGAAAGAACTTTATAAAGAAGGCAAAATATTTCAATGTTACAATTTAACACTAAAGTTCTGCCATACCAAAGAGGAAGAACTACAAGGTTCAGAGATAATGAAACTAGGCCATATAAAAAAATGAGACCCTATGATATTTAAATTCTATTATGGATCAGCAGCAAACTACACCAAAAGAAACAAAACCCCGAAGAATAAGGAACACCGTGATCAGCAAATCGACTAAAATCTTACAAGTCCAGAATTTATATTAGATTTCTTCAGAAACCTTCTACCTGTTTTGCTCTCATCAGGGCAAAGTTGCTTCCTCACAGTGCCTCAGCTCTTCCGTGGCAATAAAATGTTGGTATTCTTTTTTTTTTTTTCTTTTTTTTTCTAAAGTGGTGCTGTCGCCCAGGCTGGAGTGCAGTGGCGTGATCTTGGTTCACTGCAACCTCCACCTCCCAGGTTCAAGTAAATTCACAGGCCTCAGCCTCCAAAGAAGCTGGGATTACAGGCATGCACCACTACACCCAGCTAAAAATGTTGGTATTCTTATAGGTTGATTTTCCACTCTTAACTGCTGACCCGTAACAATTTGAGTTGCAAAATACATCTCTGGTGCAGTTATTCACTCCAGGGCATATATTCAAATGCCTACTAGTATTTCTACTTGGATATCTCATCTCATGTGTCCAAAACAAACTCCTTGTCTCCTCAATTCCTTTTTTCCTGTTTATTAATAGCAAGCCATAACTGAAAGCCACAAACCAGGATCTCATCATCGACTTCTTCCTCTCTCATCTCATCAGAGTCAAGATAGTTATCAAATAAGATCTTTAAAATTTCTTGACCTTGCCTCTCCTTTATGCCACTGTCACTACTATCTTAGTTCACGATGTCATCTTCAGCCTAGATTATGGCAATAGCTTACTAATGATTATCCCTCCATCCTAACGATAAAGTGGTCTTTTAAAAATGTTTCTCCCCTGCTAGAAATCTACCATAGTTTTTAAGATATAACTCCAACTCCTAAGTACATATGGTGCTTTATGATCTGGGTGCCCATCAATCTAGTTTCATCTTGTTTCTTCTATAGAACATGCTCTCTACTACACATAAAATATTACAGGGATAACACATCTTTTCCTCTCCCCTACTTGGAATATTCTTCCTTATAATATAGCCCTTCCTTTGTCTTATCTGCTCCCTACCCTTCTTTTATACCTCTTTAAGCACATAGTTACCATTACCCACCCATACATCTAACATTTACTTATATTTCTCTTTTATTAGACTACAAAGCTCCTGAATGAGTAAGGTAAAGATGGAAAAAGTCTTCAGGTATCAGTAACCTATGTGGGAAATGACATAATACACTTGAAATGAAAGTTGAAAAAATAACCCTTATGGACCAAATAAAATAGTATCTATAGGCCAATTATTTTAATTCAGATAGTTTTTCTGGTTGATTATGCTCAGGCTGCCAAAGGTTACATTTTTCAGCTACTTTCACATTTTTTGCAGGTACTCTCTTCTACATCTCTGTCATAGATTAGGTGGAAGTTATTGTTCTCTAAATCTATCTTTTTCTGCCAACTGCATTTCCAATAAAAAAAAAATTAAGCAAGTAAATATCAGAGGCAATAGGTAAAGAAGTCAATGTCTTCTAATTGCATCAATTCTTGTTGGAAACTAACCATAACATAGTAATGTCTAACTGCATCAATTCTTGTTGGAAACTAACCGTAACATAGTACCCCTGGCTCCCACCCCAAAAAAACCATACACACAAAAAACTAGCAATGTTGTCATTTCTTTCAAAGGTTTAGTTTTTAGTCAATAGTTGTGCTTCCGAAGTAGTTTACCTTCAGAAAGAATAAGCCAGTACATTTGATTATTAAAACCAAGCAATTTTGCTATATAACTAAAAGATCTAAAGGATTTCCCAACAATTCACTAAAACCAAAGTTACTCTATTGAAACTTAAAATTAGATGGTATATTCACTAGAAAGTCAGGAATCTTCAGTTCTGTGGCACTGGCACCACTTTAAGGGACCTAAGTAGTAGTCCAAAGCAAAAGTGACGTTGTTAACTGTCTAGTTCTCCCACTAAATCTGTAATTTACGGGTTGCTTTGGGTCTCAATTGCTTGCTACACAGAGTAACCACACTCACAAAATAAGCTACTATTTATCTTATACAGTGATGCTTTGTCACAAAGAAGTATTCAGAAGCCAAAAGAACAAAATGAGTTGTTTCATTGGTGCATTCCACCGTAAGCATATAGTTAACTATTTAAAGCTGGCATCTAAATTATGTGCTTACTTATGTACAAGACAATACCCATACTTTGGGTGGATTTTTATAACCTTTGACTCCTTCTTGAAATTACCCAGCCAACAGTGAGAACTAACCTTTTTAACTGAAAACGTATTTCAGCGAGTACTGCTACCAAAGTAAAACCCAGTAGTTGCGGTTGATCACGTTAATATTTAAACAGTTCTGAAAATCACGTGCTTCTGTTTGTAAAAGCAGAAAGCTGCTAGTCATTATATTAAAAGAATTCAGCAAGGAACAGCCATCATCTGATATATTTAAAAAATGAAAAAAGGTAAATGTTTTCTGAAAATAAAAGCAAATTAAACTGCTAAAAAAAATCTGTCAGAATAAGCAACATCATTCTCTACAAAAATTACTACCATACACTCATTTTTCATGTTTCCTTTTGATTGTCTATAGGTATGCTCCTTGCCTTTTGGGAAAAACTAGTGTGTTGTTCAAAACAACAAAGTCTAAACTGTCAAGTAGAAAAACCAACTAGTTTTAAGGAGTTGGTTTATTCTGCACACCATCCAATTACAAGTCTTAATTACCAACGCTTCTGTGCTTTCTAAGTATTGACAGTTTTTACAATCAAACTATCAACTACCCCCTGAATCAAAGATGAGCTTTATTTTAAGGCATTTTATTGAATTCTTTGAAAATTGGTAATCCAAAATGGGAAAATTCTAGAGGTTGCAAAAGCAACTGTTTTACAAAACACTAGGTAGATAACATGGAATTGACCTAGTAGGCATTGTGGTAAACACATATCCCATCTAAAAAAGGGAGGCAGCTGTCATTCCATCCCAAGTCATTACTGCTTATGGAATGTGGGCCTACTCAGAAGGCTTTTATTTGAAGACTGCCAACTTTCAAAAACACTGTGTGGGCCAAACTGGGTAAGTCGACATTTAACTGCGTGTATTAAAATTACACAATTTTGCTACCAAATTAGATAAAAGTACTTTTAAAACAAAATAATATTTATAACAGTAAAAGTCATCCTCTAATAACGAAACGTACAATCCCAGCTTTGTAGTTTATTAAAACGATCCAGGACATTTAAGTATTAAACTTAGTATTTGTACCCCTGCCATGTCTTACTTTGATTTAGTTTCTCTCCCTTTAGGGCACTAACATTTCAATTACTCTAAATTAATCCTCCCTGCTATGATTTCCCATTAATTTCTCCTACTCAGCACTTCATTCACCAGTCACTTATTTTCCATCTTATCACACTTTGGCACTTGTTTAGGTATCTGTCTCCTCTAGTACAGTGTAAGTTCCCTATAAGATTGACAGGGATGTCTGTTATGTTCATTTGTATCCTTATTACCTGGCACACAGTATGTACTCACATTTGAGACAGAAAAATGACTAAAGTTAGAATCAGAATTACTAAATAATGTTGATTCAACCCATCTACTAACTCTAAGAGCATTTATTCCTTTAGAATTATAAATATTACTGACCACTGTCTCATCTAGTACATTATTGCTCTTTATGTTACTTATAAAACCACCAAAAAGGGAAGAAAATTTTCAGTAAGATACACAAGTAACTTAGAAAACAAATCTTTAAGCTCCTTACCAAGTTTAAAAAAAAAAAAAAAAAAAAGTTAAGTATTTGTGTAAGATACAGTCTTACCCCAGGATGTTTTAGTGCGCTCTAATTCTCTGAAATTCTTAGATGGTATCCATAATTCTGAATATTCAATTATCCAGCATATAGTTGCTTATCTACCCAGGATAGAAAGGAATTTTGCTATATTCAAAATATCACTTTCTGCCTAAATATATTCAAATTTTGCATAAAGTGAAATTCTATAAAGAATCAAATATCAAAATACAATTAAGCTACATTATTGGCAGCTACAGTAATAGACTCTCTGAGTAACACAACTCATGGCAGGATCAGAACCAGTAACTTTGTCTCTATAAATAACAGGAAGTTCCACGACAATGCTTTACACAGTGCTATGAAGAAAAACTGAACTGAGATATAGAGATGTTTGGTAAGTCACAGAGATGGCTATACCCTAGAATGTGAACACAGGGATAGACACAAAGTACACGTAACCAATGACTAACTCATTATGTTGTTTCTTTCAAATGCAGTACAACTATGGAATATCCAAAATAGAATTAACTATATGATAAACCTACAGACCAAGTTAAAAATTACAACCAAATCAATGCTGGATTTTCACTTAAAACTAAATTTATAAATTATTAATACTTACAGGTCCCATAATTGTGGCTTGCCAATGAAACACTAGAAAAAGAAAAAAAATCTCTGATTATCTAAAAATGCACAAGCTTAAAAAAAATTAGGCATAAAAATCAACTTGAAAGTTACTTACTATCATCCCCAACTGGACCTGCAGAACATTGTGCTGGAGGGTCACGGGCCAAATCACTAAGTTCCTATACCAAGACAGAAAATGGGTGAGTCACAGAAGCTTAATTTAAGAAAACATAAGCGAGTCCATTGCTTTCAGCCACTTTCACCCTATTTTTAAAGGCACACTCCATCACAATTCACATAAATAATATAGTTCATTAGGAGAGAGAAAACATGCCTGAACATATGCTGAGACAATCATCTTTAAAGCTAGAGTTCATAAAAATATGTATGCACACACATTGATACGAAATTTTTTATTTGCATAAACAAAAGCCGACCTCTTATAAACCAAAATAGCTATAATTAGATATTATCACAGTTTAAGAGCTTAGACCAGGGAGAGCTCAACATTCATGTTATTTGTTGAACTTCCAAGACCACTTTCAGAGGCCCTCAACTGTCTTAAATTCTTTGTTCTAATGAGAACACTTGGACACAGGAAGGGGAACACCACACACCGGGGCCTGTTGTGGCGTGGGGGGAAGGGGGAGGGATAGCACTAGGAGATATACCTAATGTAAATGACAAGTTAATCGGTGCAGCACACCAACATGGCACAGGTATATACATGTAACAAACCTTCACATTGTGCACATGTACCCTAGAACTTAAATTAAAAAAAAAAAAAAATTCTTTGTTCTTCCTGAACCATCCTTCCTCCCCAATCCACTAACTCTATTTTCCACCTGAAAACCAAAAACACTCTCATGGGGCTAAGTACCCTTCTTGTTTTCTAATCTCCTTATTCTCTCAACTCTTTTTTTTTTTTTTTTTAACTCAACATCCTTTCATTTTTTTTTTGAGAGGGAGCCTCGCTCTGTCGCTCAGGGTCGAGTGCAGTGGCGCAATCTCAGCTCACTGCAAGCTCTGCCTCCCGGGTTCACGCCATTCTCCTGCCTCAGCCTCTGGAGTAGCTAGGACTACAGGCGCCCGCCACCACGCCTGGCTAATTTTTTTTGTATTTTTAGTAGAGACGGGGTTTCACCATGTTAGCCAGGATGGTCTCGATCTCCTGACCTCGTGATCCGCCCGCCTCTGCCTCCCAAAGTGCTGGGATTACAGGCGTGAGCCACCACGCCCCGCTCGACATCAATTTTTAACTACTGAAATTCTTTTTTTTTTTTTTTTCAGATGGAGTCTTGCTCTCACCCAGGCTGGAGTACAGTGGCGCCATCTCAGCTCACTGCAAGCTCCGCCTCCCAAGTTCATGCCATTCTCCTGCCTCAGTTTTCCAAGTAGCTGGGACTACAGGCGCCCGCCACCACACTCAGCTAATTTTTTGTATTTTTAGTAGAGACGGGATTTCACCGTCTTAGCCAGGATGGTCTCAATCTCCTGACCTCATGATTGAAATTCTGACCCTGAGAGCATACTTCTGTAAGTAGAAAGATGTTTGCTCTTAACATACAGTCTGCACAATTCCACATGAACGATTTATTTCCAACAAGTATGTAGTTCACCATTCCATGACTTGTGCATAACAATATGAATTATCTACTATGAAAATATAGTTTATTAGAATATTTTTAAGATGGTACAGCTCCATCTCACCAATGATATAGCCAATGTCTAATAATCAAAAGTTAAAAAAAGACAATAAATAGAACCAATGTTAATACACTACTGCCTTCAACATTTTCAAACTAACAGTTTCTCTTTAGTCTATGGCATAAGTCAGTAAGGGCTACCCCTTAAGTCTAGGGACTACTATATCTTTCTCATATAAACATGGAAATAACAATGAAGGGTAAGGTTTAGGATTCCATCTGAACAGCAGAAAACCACTAGGTACATGACTCATGCCTGTAATCCTAATACCTTGGGAGGCAAAGACAGGGATCACTTGAGCCCAGAAGTTTGACACAAGAGAGAACAACAAAGAGAGACCCCCCTCTCTTCAAAAACGTTAGCTAGGCATAGTGGTGCACTTCTGGGGTCCTAGCTACTCAGAAGACTGAGGTGGGAGGATCACTTGAGCCCAAGAGATCAAGGCTGCAGTGAGCTGTGATCATGTCACTGCACTCCAGTCTGGGCAACAGAGCTGTCTGAGACAAAAACACAAAACCCTGTCCCAGAAACAAAATACAAGACCAATAAAGCAAGGCTGGGCGCAGTGCACTTTGGGAGGCTGAGGAGGGCGGATCACCTAAGGTCAGGGGTTCAAGACCAGTGTGGCTAACATGGTAAAATCCCGTCTCTACTAACACCACAAAACTTAGCCAGGCATAGGGGCGCACGCCAGTAATCCCAGCTACTCGGGAGGCTGACACAGGAGAATCACTTGAATCTGGGAGGTAGAGGCTGCAGATCGCACCACTGCACTACTCCAGCCTAGGGGAAAGAGTGAGACCTTGTCTCAAAAACAGTAACAACAACAAAAAAACCCAGAAAAGCTGAATGTACTCATAAACAAAAGACCAAGTACTAGAAAGCAGAAGAAAAGATGCCTAAATAAAAAAGATATGATAGAGAAGCAGATGTGAGAGGATAGCTTGAGCGCAGGAGTTCGAGACCAGCTTGGATAACATAGGGAGACCCCATTCTCCATAAAAAGAAAAAAAAAATTACAATACAGAACAATCTGGCCACTATCAACTGTCTACCACAATATCAAGGCATCCATAACTGCAGGAATTTAAAAATGGAAAAAGATTTCCAAAGTGGGTACATGCACTTTCTTTCAACTGTGATCTTTTGCCTCCCTGTGCAAAGTCAAGGACACAAAATGCAGAGTTTTCAGTATAAGCTCTCTCAGAAGGGTGCAGGGAATAGGAAGAAGAGCTAAAACACCTTAATTTAACAAGGCATAGTGGCACGTGCCTGTAGTCCCAGCTACTCAGAAGGCTGAGGCAGGATTAAGCCCAGGTGTTTCAGGCTTCTGTGTGTTAAATGATCATGCTGGTGGATAGCCACTGCACTCTAGCTTGGACAATGTTTAATGCCTATTTTATACCAGTTTCAGATGATTTACTTTCATTCACTACATGGAATTTAAACACTTTGATAAATTTATGTTAGGGTCCCACTGTGGCACTGACTTGCTTGGGGGAAATAAATGAGTCCTCTAAATTTTGTTCATTTTGTTATATCTATTGGAAATCTTTAAACTAGGCTCTCAACAAACTGAGGGGTCAGAACAAAAAACAGCTCAGCTTTCGAGGCTTTTAGAAAATTAGAATCACTGAATACATAGCTTGAAAATCAGATAATGCTGACATCTTTCCCTACAACACTGAGGAACTGAACAAATCAATCAATGTATGCTCCAACAGCACACAAGCCTGTATCTGTGCTTTAAATATTTCAATTTGTGGGAAAGCTCTTTCAACGGAGCTATTTTTATTGGGTAAGTTTGTATTCTGTACCAGAATGGAATAAAATTGAAATTTTGAGAAACACTGAAAAAAAAAAGAGACTACATAAAGTGTTTTTGTCTTGTTAAAAAAGAACTGAGACTTAGTCCCATTTAACAGGATTTGCTCTAAGCTTTTAAGACACCTTAGTTCCCATAGGGTATTTTGCCATTTAAAAAATTATAGTATTGTAGACTAGAGTCAATGGGGGTTACTAATTTAAACCTTATTAACCTCAAAAGTGCTCCTTTTGACAAGATTAAAATAAGACTATTAGAGATATCAGCAAAACAGCACTGAGAGACAGGGCTAGGAAACTAGAGTACACAAATATGGACTAAGAATAATTACACTACCTTTAAAAATGTTAAGATGATCAACACAAAGTTTTAACTGCTCTAATGTGTCTTTTTTAAAAATTAAGTTTTGATTAAAACTGTTTAGTAAGTCCACCAATCCTCCCCCCTTTAAAAAAGAGATGGGAATCTCACTATGTTGCCCAGGCTGGAATACAGTGGCTATTCCCAGGTGCAATCACAATCATAAGGCACTACAGTCCAGAACTCCTGGGCTCAAGGGATCCTCCTGCCTCAGCCTCTTAAGTAGCTGGAGTTGCAGGTACGCATCACTACGTACAGCAATTTGTTGAACAATAAATGCACATTTTTTTTAAACTGTAAAATGCAACAATGAATTTTGCTGATTGATTCCATGTAGGAAGAAAAGGTAATGCTAAGATTTTTGGCCTGAGCAAAGCATGAGGTAGGCATTAAGTAAAATGGTCAACTTACAGCTGAAGTCTGTGGGCAGATGTAGAGATAAAGCAAGTAAAGTAAGATAGTGTAAGTAAAGACTCAATTAGAAAAGTATATATACAAGTTGAGAACAGGCTGAGAACAAATACAAATTATCATTAATAAACAGATGATGTTTATGGCCATTAAACTTGGTGAGAGCACTCCAATAACAGAAGGTCCTAGGAGTGAACACTGGACTAATTTAATGCTAAGAAAGGGAATCTTGGCCAGTAACCTGAAAAGTTAAAAGAAATACTGAACGCGAAGAAAGGCCTTGTCACAATAAACAACACGGCACAAAAAACAACTTGTCACAAAAAACAACAAAAATAGAGTAGACAAGGAGAACTGTCCTGATATACTGTGCCAATTCACTTTTGAAACTCATCACAACTGCTTACAAGGTTGCCAGAGATCCCAAGATTCACAATTTAAAGATAAGGGTATATCACACACCCTTTATATGCTTGCCTACATAGATATACCCTCATATCTTCCACATATTCAGGAAAGGAAGAAAATTCATTCCAAATACATTGATTCTGATCAGTGGGAATTACAAAAATTTGTATCACAGTTCAACAATCTGTAAAAAAAAAACAAAAAACAAAACCTACGTGGCTTTTGACCTTCAAAAAATTTTTAACAGAAAACATTAACCCAAATCAGTATTTCAAAGACGCCTTTTTTTTTTTTTTGAGATGGAGTTTCACTCTGTCATCCAGGCTGGAGTGCAGTGGCGTGATCTCGGTTCACTGCAACCTCCGCTTCCTGGGTTCAAGTGATTCTACTGCCTCAGCCTCCTGAGTAGCTGGGATTACAGGCAAAGGCACCACACCTGGCTAACTTTTTTTTTTTTTTGTAGTTTGG